AGCACTTTTGGCAAAATTCAGGTTTTAAGAACCGCTAGAAAATCTGTGCAACATAAATAAAACATCATGGGCCTTTCCCAACTGGAAGGATTTTTTTGCTGCTGGCCTACATAAGCCAACCTGTCTTGCTGGGCTACTCAGCCACAGAGGCTGCTCCCAATTCTAAAGAAACCCCCCTCAGGGATTTCTGTACTCTACTGCCCTGAGAAGCAGAGGTTTTTTTAAAGCAGGTATTGTGGTTTTTCAATAGATCATGCTTTAACTAGGGAAAGCTCAGCTTATTTTTGCACCGGTCTCCACTGTCTCCAGAAAACTGAGAATTCCACAAAGGCCACAGATATATTGTACAGCATGCTCCACTTTGGGAAGTTATACATTAACGAATATACTGATTTCTGAGATATCAGTTTATACCTTGAATGACACAGTTACAACTGTTTGGGAATTGTCCCCTTGTTCCAAACAAAAAAAAAGGCAAAAAGTACACAAACCCACCCCACTGGGTCTAACAAGATCGCTTCACAGACCAGTCAGAAAGTAAAATTCTAGGACTAGACTTTGATTAACTGTTCTAGTGTGTATATATGCATGTGTGCTTTGGACACTCGCCCTAAGCCAGCTGTTGAGAAGTACTGAGTAAACACACGAAAATAGTTGGAAAATAAGTGGAGCTAAGCCAAGACAAAGACCTGTAAACAACAAATCATTTAGGCTATGAAAGCAACTGTAGAGCAGTGATGGTGGAGCAGGGGGGCAGGGCAGGGGGTAGGACCTGATACAGAACAAGTTTTATACCGCTGTTAGCAAGAAAGCCTAACAGGAACACTGCAGTCTGCCCAGCAATCATTCTTTAAATTGTACAATGGCAAGGGAAAAGGAATCTGTTCAAATGTAATCAAAGTGTGTAATGCTCATGGCAGACATCTTAACTGCCGTCACTACTTGGAGAAGATCATTTTTGGATCTACCTCTAGCCATTTTTTAGCAATCAGGATCAGTTCCAAATGTGCCTCACCCTATACACATTTGACCTGAGCTGGATAAATCAATGGTGACTAAGTACAGAGAAGCTATACTGTTCTGGATGTCCATCTGTCAGAGCTTACGCTATTCCAGCAGCCCATCATTCACATATGCAGCAACAGAAAAAGGGAAAAAAAGAGTACATACTTCCAAGGACCTTCACATGATGTTTGATAAGAAAGAAAATTTCTACCACTTTTCTCTTATCCTTGAATCAGATTTGGGAAGAATCCATTCCCATTCATCTGTCTACACAGTGCAGCATTTATACTTTTTTTAGTGATCACTCAGAGATAAGCTGTATACCTACGATTGTACTCCAACAGCTATTAAATGTTTGATAATAACCAACAAACTGAGTATTGACTGTTGTCTTCTACACATGGTATCTAAATACAGAGCAATTAAATTTCTGCTATTTAATGGACTGTTCCAGATAAATGTTGCATACCAAATTAAAAATCAGGTAGAGTTAACTGTCCTGATATCTCTCTGAACCTCAATTATTTTTCTGTGGTCATTTCTTAGTGTTTTTTTCCCCCTCAATGTTTGCATTCATAATGAATTGTGACAAATCAGACTATAGTCTCTATACATCCTCTGTGTGTCTACACAAGACACTATGGCGCAGTAGCAACAAGCTACTGTGCCGTACCTCATTGCTACCACGCAGTAGTGTTGGCAGGCACTAACCATGCAGCAACAATACTACACATATGAAAACAAAAAACCCTACACAAACATCTTTGCATCTTAGAGCATGTATGGATAACCAGACTTTAAGTTGTACCCTTTAAGTACCTTAAATTCCAGGTAACAGAATTTAATCAGCTTTATACAATACTTCTGATTTTATCTTTTAAAACTCTATATAGAATTTATGGTATGAAATCCTGGTACCACTTAATTCAACATTTACATATTTACATTATGTTACATTTTTGTTATTGCTCATGTATCATAGTGAAAAGGAACATATATAAATTGATAGATAAATCTGCACCTGCATGACGGTTTGACTTCAGTTGCATTTTGTTTTCAACTTTTATCCTTTCCTATTGATCCTGTGAATCTACTTACTTCCCTCCTTGCCCCTTGCTATGAGACTGGTTTCAATGTTTAAAGTTCTCCATGAGTAGGAGAAAATATAACTACAACTTAACTAGAACTTTAGCTATATTTCCATCTGTACCATTACACAATCCCACCACCCAATCTTATAAATCAGTTTCCTCCCCATGAAGCAGCTCAAAGTTGCTCTATCTTAATCAATATAGTACATTGTGGTGTGAGACAAACCAAAAAGAAAATATTCTAGTGTAAAAAAATTCTGATGATGCAACAGAATTTCTTTATGTTGCTATGCTAATGATATACCAGAATATTAATGTTCTCAACAGAGGTTATATTTGGGCTTAAGTGGCTTGGCTATCAAAGCAATCTTGATTAACATGCTAACTCCCCAGTTCTCAGTAATGCGGAAAGAAAGCAGCAGCCAAAACAGAGGTTTAGGTGAAATATTAACCCCTCTGAACTCAACAGAACAAAGAATTCATCCCCAAATTTTAATGGTGACAATAGCTGACATCTGCATCTCTATTGTCTGCCATCTCTGCTCCATAATAATTGCTCTTAATACAGAGCTTGCTCAACAGAAAAGACAGTAAAATCAGGAACACTGCACTACCTCCAGCCCCTTGTCTGAGTAGATCTTGATCACAGATCTCAAGACTACTGGGAGATGTCATCAGAACTGTCTAAGGGAACAGACCTGTGGCCTGGACAAATAGAAGTCACCATGTTCTGAAGTTCCTCATGACCTGCCCTAACTCATGAAAGTTAATTAGAAAGAGAAAAAGGTAAACGAATCGCGGACACAGTCAGATGATAACTTACAGTGCATCTTTCTCCCCTGCATTCTTTCCCAGAAAACTTAGGAAAATTTCTCTCATGACAGAAAATTAACAATGCTAAGAATCCTCAAGCTCCCCACTAACATCCAGCGTTCCAGCTAATATCTGGAATACACGTTTCTGCCTCTCTTCAGGATGATGGTTATTACCTTCTCTGTTCCAAGAATGTGATAAACCTTAAGATTGTATTTTCTGCCTTGATGTAACTTCCTAATTCTAATGTCTAGCAGTCATCTAGTCTGACTTAGTTCCTCCTAAATTAGTATGGAACGAGACACTATAATACTGTTATTCTGAACAACCCAGGCAGATCAAAGATGTGAACATCTCATTTGTCTAAAACATACTGAGAACTTTCCAGGACAACAGCCGGCAGTTTATAGATAAAACGGGGTCTTTGCTAGCTCTTATGTACCTTCTTGCAACCAAAAGAGGCTCAGCAACCCATCTACCAGGAATGGATTCACTGTATGTCTGGAACATGTAGAATTACTTGAGAGTTGTTTCTAACAACCCTATTTTTTTCTTCCACCACATCTAGGCAAGAGGCCTACAACAAAGAAATTCTTGCTCCCTAGTTAAGTGACCTCCATTCTAACAGCCAGACCCTGTTAGCAGAAAGTAGATATGGAGGTACAGCTGAGAGACAGTACACAAATCTTACTTGTTTTCTTTGATTAATGTAGGAAACTTGCAATGTTAGCTAGCCCACGTCTATACTTAACAGGCCCTTGATCTTAACTCCAATTATTATCACTTTTTTCTTCAACCATGACACATTTATAATCAGAACCATTCTACCTACTGTAATTGCTTGAAAGTTTAACCAGAGATGGGACAGAATAGATTTTTCTTTGTATCTATTAAAAACGCCAAATGGATTTCTGCCAAACTAAGACATCTTGAACCATTCAGTCCTGCTACAATCAAAATATCACCCAAGTAAATAATCATTCTTATCCTAATAACATTATGAGAGAAATGACAGGTCTGGTTACCATGGAGAACAGTCTTGCAAGAATGAATAGACTGAAAGCTCTTGCCTCCCACCAATACTGCACTTTTGGGGAAAGCTTAGTTTTCTGTAATTGGGGTACATAAGAACGATAAGGAAAGGTTTGCTTAAATTGGCTTTTCACTATGAAATATCCCTTCTTGTCAGTCACCAGCAGATCTTTCAGAAAGTCCTCCTTAAATGAGTAGCTGCACTGCATTGTTCTATCCACTGAATTCACTATTACAATGCTTTTGCTCTCATGAGGACAGAAAGGAACAAACAGCCTCCTTTGAGCAGCACTGGCTGGAAGTTCATTAGAGGAGGACCCTAGCCAAAAGTCTACAGTGATCTGCAATTAAACAGGCAGATTCCAAAATCTATTTAAATTCATCATTTTATAGGGCACCAAAATTGACAACAATGGAAGCAATGAAGTCAACCAGTTCCTGACCTCTTATAACCATCACAAGAAACTGATGCAGTAGAAACATCCAACTCACCCTTAATATGTGACACTCTAGAAGAAGATAAAAAAAAGCACCAAGGTACTTATTAATAAATACTATTCTATTTGGTTTGTTTTTTGCTTTTATCATGGTGTCAGGCAAGTGCCATCCAGAAATGCATTGAGCTGCATAACAAGCATCTTTAATGGAAGATATCCACCATTTAATAAAAATCAGCTTAGCCTTTTACACATAAAGAAGAAATACTATGTTGTATCATCTTATTCAGTCCCTCTTCCTTCAATGGAATAGCATGAAAATGTCATCTTATCATTTGGTCCAAACTACATTTTCCAAATAAAAATAAGAATTCCCACCTTCATATTTCCTTTAGCCTTCTATGCTCCCACTTGAAAACTCAGTTTTTAAAAAGAATATGTTGGAAAATGTTGAATTATACCCTGTATACATTAATCATTCGCCAATGGAACTCTTGTCTGACAGCCAATCCGACAGTTGAACTCCAGAATATTATTTCAGCTAAAATTCATTGTTATACATTATCAATTCTTGATAACAGTAATATGTATAATGCACATTGTTGTAAAATTTTCAACAAACTTTTATGGCTTTCCTCTTCATATGAATACTCAATCATCCATCCGTTCCTAGATGCACTTCAAGCCTGAAAGGAAAAATCAACAATTATTAAATTAACAACAAGGTCTGCAGTTTTTAATCTTCATTACTCAGTTACTATTGTATACTTACGCAAAAATTCACATATAGGTTTCCTTGATACCGAAATGGATATTAAAAGAATGTTGAGGTTTTCCAACAATTTAAATACAGCTGGATGAACATAACAGAGACAAATACAGAATCACAGAGAAACAGGGCTGGGAGGGACTCAATAAGTCATCCAGGCAAGGTAGAATCATCCCTGTCTAAAGTAAAATACTTCCAACAAAGGAGATTCTGCCACCTTCTTAATAATCTGTACTAGTGCTTGACCACCCTTCTACTTAAAAGTCATTACTCATATCTAACATAAATCTCTTCCATTCCAGTTTATGCACACTATTTTTGTCCTGTCTTTGATGAACACAGAAAACAATTTATCCCTATCCACTGCCTTACAACGCTCTATATTTGAAGATTGTTACCCTCTTCAGTGTTATCTTCCCTAGACTAAATAATCCCAGTTCTTCCAACGTTTCCTCACAGATCGTGTTTTATAGACTTCTAATGATTTTTGTTTCTCCTTTGGATTATCTCCAAGTTGTCTATATGCCTCCTAATCTAGAGTGCATAAAACTGAACTTTACTTGAGACCTCAACAGTATGTACTAAATAGAACCACTTTTCATGACTTTTATAAGACATTCTTGTTCATACATCAGCTATGTTTTTAGCTTTTTTTGCAACAAAGTTGCATTGTTGTTGAATCATGCTTTGCTTCTGAACCACTAACCCAATGAATATATAGCGGGAAATGTCTCAAGGTTTTTTGTTAATATTTCATAGACATCTGGGCTAGAAGGGACCCTGGAGGATCATCGAGTCCAGCCCTGCGTCCCAGGGGCAGGAAGTCAGCAGGGATCATAGGATCCCAGCAAGATAACCATCCAAATGCATCTTGAAGGCGTTCAAAGTGCGTGCTTGAACCGCCTCCAGCAGCAGTCTATTCCAAACCTCGGGGGCTCGGACAGTGAAGAAGTTCCTTCTTATGTCCAGCCTGAATCGGACACAGTGGTGTTTGTGACCGTTCGATCTTGTCATCCCCTGGGGGGGCTCTGGTGAACACATTCCCCCAGATCCTGATGAGCACCCCGATAAACTTATAGGTGGCCATCAGATTACCCCTGAGCCTGCGCTTTTCCAGGCTGAATAGCCCCACTTCTCTCAGCCTCTCATCATAAGGTCTGTTTTCCTGACCTCTGATCATGTGTGTAGCTCTCCTCTGCACTCTCTCAAGCTTCTCCACATCCCTTTTGAATTTTGAAGCCCAAAACTGGACGCAGTAGTCCAGCTGTGGCCTCACCAAAGCCAAGTACAGCGGGAGAATGACGTCCCAGGATTTTAGTTACTAGTTCCTGTGAATTTCATTTTTGAGCAGCTGCTTGATCATTTTATATTTGAGCTGCTTTGATTGAACTAGAGACATTCATATTGCAAGATCAGATGACTCTGGAGCAGGTTGTCAGTTCAAATATTCATTATTTTGATTTAAAAATTGTTTTCCAAAAATACTCTGCAAGATCTGATTAATATTTGCTGTTGGGGTAAAAAAAAAATCTTGCCAGTACACTCATTAGTATGTTGACAAAATATGAATATACAGAGCATAATAAAATAAATAATTCAAAATCAGTATTTTTTTTTTAATGTACACACCTAATTTTGTTTATACTTCATTAGTAAGCTATGGAAAAAAGTTAAGACAGAGAAAGATTTAAAGATAACTTTTCTGTTTGCTTCTGCAACTTAAAAAACATACTTATAAAAGGCCCTGTATTCCAACTTTTGCAAAGGCTTAAAAAAATTCAGAAGAGGCCAAAACCGTTGCCTTAAATTACTTGACAGTGTGCCTTAAACATCTTGCCAGAATATGTGCATATATCTGGAAGCAAATTCTACTTACATATGTCTCCTTTAATAATGTAAACTGTGTGAACTCAAGAATGTAAGTCTGTTGTCAGGGAGCTATTATAAACAATCTGCTACAACTTTGTTTTTTTCAAAATGAGTTTGTCTCTCCAACTGACAGAGCATCACCTGCTCATTTTAAAACCTTAACCCAGTTCTGTATTACTGCTAGTCATACTGTAACAAAGTTCTCAGATCTAAAACAGACCAAGCAGCCCTTTATTTTCAAAACAATAAAAGACTCTGGAAAAGATGCGAAGTCAGTAAACATTAATAAAACCTGTTAACGTTCTACTATATCACTTATTATTATTCACTTTTAAACCAATGTTATTAAAAAGAAACTCAAGCTCTAAAGTAACATTTCACAAGAGGTTGCAGATTCCCTAAAAACTATGACCTCATTAAATGTAATTCAATCTTGTAAGATTGGAGTGTTCTACCTACTGTTGACTCCTGCCTCGTGTTTGGTGCATCTTGGAGACTGTCTTTTTGTTTAAACTCTTGGTTTTTATCTGGATTGCTTCTAAATTTCCATTTCATGGAGCAAATTTTCTTTGGCATAAAACTGAGCCAGCAGGCATTGATGCTACCGATGGTTTGGGTTTTTTTGGAACTGCACTCTGGAAGAAGACATCTTCCAGCAGTCTCATGCTATGCTAATATCTAAATACTGGACAATTCAACCCATTTTCTCGGTATACATTTACATGGTATGGTTACCTAACCTAAACGACAAATGGCTATGCCACAAAATTCTTTTAAATTAAACATAACAGCCTTCAAAAGCCTCATGGGTTGTCTCTCAAAGCAAAACCTCCTGTGACTTGTAGCTGTTTCACTTCTCCACATTTTTCATTGGTTATTTCTTCGCGCACACACACACACATCCTAGAGTGCAACTTGGCTTCACATTACCCGTGAATGCTCAAAGTCCTATTAGTTCACTGTGGCTAGGGTAATAAAGAAAACAGAGAGGGAGATGTTTTTCAAAACTGCCAACGTGCAGCTATCTTACAATCATAGCTGCATTTGTTTTACATTATTTAATAATGTACAAAGGCCCTCCTGGTAAAAAGGCTACTTCATTAACAATGATGAATGATTGGTGTTGCTTATAAATTCCCCTATGCATATTTAGTCAATTTACTAAGCTTTGAATTGTTAGCTCTTTCCCGCTTTTAGACTCATGCCAGTCTTCCTCCCACACCCTTTATATGCTTAAGCTCCTAAACAATTTCCTAGTGGCCCAAGTCTTCAACCAACAATAGAAATACTAGCAATACTGGTTTTCCTAAACACTACCCCATTGTTGTGCACCAACCCACACAGTTTAGGGTAGGTGGGGAATTAATTATCTGAGGCCTAGTCAATTCTTGGCCTGCCTAATGGGATTGCCAATAAAGGTGACAAATACCATCAGTTGTGATGTGTTGTGGATACCTGCTATCAAGCTCAATTGATATAGGCTATATGAGAGCCATCAAGATGTAGGCCTGAATTTCAACTGAAGATGAAGGGCTGGATGTTTATTTTCAATTTCCCGTCATCTAGTAACCCATCATTCTCTGACCTAATTCTCACTGGTGCTGAGTAGCTGCAAGCTCTCCGCAAAACCACTTTGAAATACCTATGAAAAAAAATCACTGACCTATGAAAAAAATCATAGGTATTTAAAAAAAAAAAAATGAAAAGTCAAACCACTTCCCTTCAGCAAATCCAAATCATATCCCCTTTGTTAAGTATGTTATCACCTACAACGCATCCTAGATTTTATAGAGAATCTATTCATCCAGGTTTTAGCAGGCCTACTGTGAATGACTGCTTTACTTTTAAGTAGTAAATTGAACATGGTGTAAAGTCCAAATGGGAGCATTTGCCTCCAGTCTGTTCTCTGCAAAAGGGCTTACAGTAACAGAAGGATATGTCCCTGACAAGATGAGAGGACTGAAAGTCCATTTGATCCAAGACCTTTAATGACTGAAGGCTCTTGAAAGGAAGTCACAAAGCAAAGCCTGTAACTATGATGAAATCAGTCTCAGACTGATGAAAACTGGCATAAAGCAAATGTAGTCAAAATTCCTTTCCAGCCAAAAGCTTTCAGTCTTCATAAATGAGCTTCAGACTTCTAAAAATTTAAAAAACAGTAACTAATTCCAGCATAATATAGCTACAAAATCTTTACCTGTGTCAAAGCAAGGTGAACAAGAACTGAGCTATTCAATTTTTTGAGAACTCGTAAGTACCAGAATAATATGTAACAAAATACGCTACAAAGATTTTTGTATAAATGACATGTTTTTCTCTTCATGTCTAAAATATGCTTAAAAATATAAAATATAAAACCATGAACATTCATTCATCTAAATGCAACACATACAGAAAGTATGAAAGTGAACTTTATAAAGTACAGAGGGTTTTTCATATCAATCCATTTAGAAGAACTAATAGCACAGTTACAGGATTTCCCCTGTTAAGTCCCTCTCTAACTGATTTACACAGATACTCTTAACACACAACTCAGCCTACGAACATACACCTATCAGAAGGCTTGGATGACATCAACTTATATAGACGAACAGTTTGTTGAAGCAGAACCAGAATGAGGCTCAAGGTTACAGGTAAAAAATATTTTAAACAGTACATTGATACAAAGCTGCTTCCTTCAATTGAAGGTGCGTACCCACCACTGGTCAATCCACTCCACAGTTTAGGATTGGGTTTGTGTTCCTGGCTGATGCTAAATTCTCACATAGCAATACCCACATGAAACATCTACCATCTTCAGTTGGCAAAGAGACTCAATACCATCCTGATGGAATCTGACCCACCTTTAATAATATATTAATCCATTACCTCCCTGCTAAATCAGAGAAAATGCCAACTGCCTAGGCACAAAAATTCAGGCCTTAGAGAAGTTCAACTAATTCATGACATAAAAGCTCACCTTCTCCTCAAAAGCTAAAACGAGCTTTTTAAATCTATTTTACAGTCTCTGGTTTCCCATTCAATAAAATAAAATTCAAGATGTCAGCC